GGCTGTTCGATTCCAGAAATGTTGGAGTCGATTCCGAGTCGATGGAGTTGAATCCAAGAATCAGTTCCATGCAACAATTTTCTCGGTTTTCAATTCTGAAAAAAATAACAAGACATAAGGAAGAAGGTGCATACAGAGCCCTGCTGGTGACACCCCGTGTTGATAAAAATAATGCGTGGCCATGACTTAGTAAGGCGTGGAGACAAGATAATTAAGTGGGGGCCACGACTTAGTAAGGCATGAGAATGAGGTCCTAATGCATAGCCATGACTTAGTAAGTCTTGACCACAGCTTAATAAGGCATGGTCTCGTTCCCACGCCTTACTAAGTTGTGGCCAAGACTTCATTATCTCATTCCCACACTTTACAAAGTCGTTATTTTTACACATTATTTTTATTTACACGGGATGTCTCTAGCAGGGCTCTGTGGGGTGCATGCACAGACATTTAGGGATTGAAATTGAATGAAATTCACAGCATATGACGCACTTTTATCCAGGTGGTCAGAGATTTCAAAGGAAGCAAATGTAGCGTAAGAAAATGCTGCCAAAACCACAGTTAGATGCTGATATGAGTGGGTTCACTGAAGCAGGGCATCGAAACCAGGAACCTCCTGTTTTCAAAGGGGTAGGGTAATCCACTACTCTATCTGGGTCAGTGCTTCAGAATGAATGAATGAATGAAATGAACCTTTTAGCCAGCTGCGTCTGAACACATTGGAATTAGACCTCTGCATTTAACCCATCTGTGCAGTGAAACACCACATACACACTAGTGAACACACACACACTAAGGGGCAGTTAGCACACTTGGGCAGCCCTATCCACGGCAGCCGGGGAGCAGTTGGGGGTTAAGTGCCTTGCTCAAGGGCACCTCAGTCACGTACTGTCGACTCAGGGGATTGAACCAGCGACCTTCCGGTCACAGGGCTGGTTCCCTAACCTCCAGCCCATGACTGCTCCCATCATACCATCATACATCATAACTTTCACTGTGCTGTACACGTTTTATCTCTTTACTTGAAGTCCCTGGTTAACTTACACTCACCTCCGACTGTAAAGGTGCATCACCTCAGTGTAAAAGGACGGCTCTGAATCTGCAGCTGCTGTTTCCCTTGCATTGACGCTGTTGTGGTAATTTGTATATGAAGAACAGGCTGATTTAAGGAGTCGTATCTGTCGTGATACACTCGACTCGGCGCCCCATATAAATACAGATAATTGTGACTACTAGTTTGTAACTCATTTCAATTCATTCACTGTCCTCATGCACCTTAATGAACCGGCTTTATTTCTAACACACAAAGGATAAAAACTACGTATAATTTTGCACAACATGCATCCAGATGTGAAAATGATCACACACAATCTGTTAAGCTGCTAAGATGAATTTTATTTCATGCGTTCTCATCTTATTCATGAGCTCCTAGTCTGAAATTTAGCCGTCAACATTCATCTAACACTGATGTGACTGTGATAAACACAGCAATACAAGACTAGCAGAGCTCATTGTTCTCTCTACAGCACTGGTTCTGCAGTGTTTTCCCCCATATACACTGCAAAAGTGAGCTGCTTTCAGTCGTTTAGTGCAGTTTTCCCCCCAGAACAGCTTCTCTTCCTCAGCCCCTCAGACAGTGGCTCTGCACTGCTGTAACGTTAGTCCCAGAGTACAGAATCAAACCGATGAGTTATTTACAATTAAAAACGCTACTAAACAGTGAACAAACAATACGTTGATCTAGAATCTCCCTCTCGTTTTAAAGAGCCAGCGCGTTTACACAGCTAGCCTGCTAGCTAAGCTAACTAACTTTAAATTACGTTAACTAACGCTCGGTCGATGAGCAGGTGAACAGTATTGTGGGATTGCCTTTGCTGAGAAGGATTCGGTCAAATTAAGGCAACTTACAAGGCAGCTGCCTTATGCTGCCTTTACGAATGAGACAGCCTTCATCTCGGGAGCGTAAATGCTGCCTTAGAGTGCTGCCTACTTAGACAGCTGCCTCCCTAATGGATCGCACCATATGTTTAGTTATTCATTCATAGTTGGACTTCATTCTGGAATGTGACATAAACAGATATTATCAGTGCTTTATTTCCAGGGCTGTGATCAAACATGCATCCCTGTCAGGTCGGAGTTACTAAGGTGAATCTCCATAGGCAGTGCACCAGAGGTGGCACCAAAGGGGGCACCCAAGAGTGATGGTGCTTGCAGAATCCAACCGGACCCACTAAGAATTCCTGAGCGTTGTCTCACAAAATGGATCTTGAACAACGGTAGAGGCCTAAAAACAAAATTATTATATACACCGACCAGGAGGGCACCTGTATAAAGGGTAGAGGTAGTGTTATAGTCAAAACCACTACAGGCAAGGCTGAGTAATGACCAAGAGCTGGAAACACTGACTCAAAGTTCAAGACTAAGCCCAGGAGTGGCAGAGAGCAAGTCAAGACCGAGACCAGATAAAAAATTTGGCCACTTCCTATTTCCCCCGTTATATCAAAAACAGGACTGCTCAACAGCTAAAACCGAAGAGTTAGAATAGTTTCTAATCTCTCACCCAGAACTTTTCTTTAATTTTAGAAAGTATAAGATGTATTTCACTAAAAAAACAAAGAAATCTTACCTGTGAGTGGAGCAGCTCATTGGCTGTTCGCGTACATGAATGTACGAGGCGCCGTTTTAAACTCCTATAACTCGAGTTTAAAAGCTCTTAAAAATATAACAGCAGTGTTAAAATGTTTTATGCTGCTCTGTGCTCAGGAAACGAATGTAATCTTTTACATTAAAATTGTTTAAGCATTTATAAACTATGATTTTGCTCAAATGCTCCATATCAACCCATTCATTCTGGACTCGCTCGGGAGCGCCCTCTAGCGTTTGAGAAACCCGGAAGACATTGCAGAGTGGAAATTCTCCTCTCTACAAGTTCTCTGCTGTTAGCACAATGCTAACTGGTGCAGTATTAGCTTCCATTACTACATTAGCCTTGTAGCTCCAGTGCAAAGGTCCAGAGGCAAACAGACATCAAACACGTCTTGGCTGATTAGAAAAAAATTAAGTCAGCTAGATTTTCTGCTGAACTACTGTTTTAAAAACCAGACCCCAAATTCAATGACAGTATTTAGCCAAGGGTTACAAAGATCAGAGGTCAAAGGTCACACCTGCCGCAGGAAAAACATGAGTGAGTGGGCAGGTCCCATCTGCCAGGCGTGTGCCACACAACAAAGGGGTTCGTCCCCACACAGGGTGAGTGCAAGCCCCCCCAGAACTGGCCTCCTGTCCCAACCTCATCTAATTCCTCCAATCAGAACTCATAAATGACTTACACGGCTAACCAGCTCTCACCGCACATACAATACACAGCGCAGCTGGCTAATGGAACAAACTGCACAATCTATCAAATTCATAATTGAGTTTTTACGCATAAAAGACGCTGGATGGTCTCCTGGTTGTGAGATTTTGTGCATTAGGGTGTATTTATCAAATCAATGATTTAAATGTTACATTTTTAATATGCAGATTACAATATTTAATGGGAATTTGTCTTGATTTCCTTTTGCTTTGACAAGCCTGGCTGGTCTCTTTTCTCTGTGTGCTCAAGCGATTTTAATAACGCAGGCCAAATACAATACATAAAAGAAATTGAATTGTCAAGGCTGATATTTCACACAGGACAACTCATTTCTGCTTGAGAGATCCCAAGATGCAATATAAAATGTCATGGTATAATGTAATTCAGTAGACTCATAACCAGGGATTTAAGTGCAAATACAGACTCCCCTCCTATGAAGCAGTGTTCGCTGATACGAGCTGAAATTCAGCAGCTGCTGGGACTCCACAGCTATTTAAACAGATTTAGACTCGGTGCAGCAGGAGAGCGCATCACTGAAAATGAATCACGGTAACTAGTTTCAGCAAAGTGTCTGACATAAAGAAAGATATGATGGAAAAACAGGACTGATCTATGGATGGATGGATGAATAAATATACAGACAGATAGATGTTAGAAAGTTATCAGGCTGTATTAGATAGATAGAGAAATAGACAGGCAGG